TTTTTTTTTTTTTTTTTTTTTTTTTTTTTTTTTTTTTTTTTTTTTTTTTTTTTTTGTAGCTCTGGGAAGTGTTGCAGAAATCCTGCAAGCTGCTGCTGGAAAGGCAGCTGCCCAGGCACTCAGTACAGGTACTCAGGCTGCAGCCCAGCACTGATGCCGAGTGTGGGGGCTGAAAAACTACATATAGCCTCAGCATATGTTCCTGGGGATCCTCGCATAGGCAGCACTGTGAGGCCTCTAAAACCAGCTAGAGAAGAGCACAAAGCCCCAGGATGAGCTCTCACTGGTGTCTCCAGGGGGTTTTACCTCAGAACAGCAGAGACATTCGTTTCCAAAGGACAGGGCAAGCTTGTCCTCTAAAGCCAAATGCTCCCTAACCCAGAGCCAGCAGTTAACACCCCCTTGGAAGGAGCAGAGACCCTGCTACAACTCCTTTCTCAGGGAAAAAGGTCCCTTTTCCCACCTCTTACCAGCATGCATGATTTACCACAAAACCATTTTTTCTTGGGCAAAGAAAAATCTGTCTGTCCTGATAGTCCAAGCCAGAGACCAGGGAGCCAGAAGAAATGTTAAAGAAGGGGTTTTCCCAGCCTCATGGTTACGGCATTTGCTCCAGCAGCCAAAGAGAGAGCTTCATCTCTGCTCTTTCTTTATCATTCAAATAAATACGGGAGCTGCTCTGCTGAGCCCAGAACAGGTCTAGGCATTCATAAAAGCACAGCTCCATGTGCACAGGGCACTCACGGACATGACTCCAAGGCAAGCAGGCAGCTGTAGATGAGTTTAAAATAACTTTGGCTGTGGATGCCAAGAATTAAGACTATGCTCAATATAGGAGAGAATTTACAGTCACTGGATCTGGCTACAGGTCAGCTTTCTCCCCGCAGCAGGGCCTCCCAGCTCTGCAGGAGGCTCCACAGGGTAATTTTAACCTTTTGGAGATGGGGCCATGCCCTCTGGGCTCACTTCCCTTGCTTGGAACAAGGGGACCCCTCCAGAAGGGATATGCTGCCACCATCCTAATCCCCTCAGGGTGGCATGGAGGGGGGCAGGGCTCAGCATGATCAACATATTAGGGCATGATGGAGACACTTCCTCAGCCCCTTTCCCTCCTCCTCTATGCCTACAGTGCTTCAAGCAGAGACCACCAGAGTGGGAATCAATACACAGTGCCAGGGGAAGGATGATACCAGCATCAGACAGGGATGAAATGCTAAATGTGAGCCCTTTAGCTTTTCTTTCAACAAAACACAAGACAAAGGTGGAGGCTGTAAACACCAAAAGAACATAAGCCAAACTACATGTGATGCAGGCAACCAGGAGGTGGAGGGGCCAGATGGCTCTGGCACTACTCAGCCCAGGGAAGCTCTCTGTGCATCCTTTCTGCGAAGCCCTGCTGTGGCTCCCCCCATCCACAGCATGAGCACTGGCAGGATTTACATGCCCACTGCAGTCAAAACTCCCCATCCTGCTCCAGCACTGTCCTCCACAGCCAGGGCTCAGAGAACAGAGCAATGCCTGTGAGGAGAGGTAGGAGGGAAAGGCAGCCCTTCCAAGAGAAAGGAGGTCAGCCTGCACCAGCCATCTGCCATCAGGGACTGGGAGCTGATGGAGGCAGCCCAGAGCACTGCAGGTGGGGGTGGCCCTGCTGCTCCCCAATGAGCAGAAGCACCTTGGCACCTGCAAGCCCCGGAGACTGCTCCATCTCCCACCCGAGAGACCTGCAGAGCACTGAGGCAGCAGCTCCTGCTTGCTGCTAACAGTCAAGTATACACAGTTGCAGCCATGGGCAAAAGGCCACAACCACCCATTGCAGTCTCAGAGGACATCCAGAGCAAGGAGGGCAAGGAACGCCCTCACCCAGCACCCCACCAGCAGCAGTAAACAGAGGACCCCATCTCCCAGGTCCAGCTACCAAGCCACCAACGAGGCCCATATTTCAAACAGCTCTGCTCCTCTTGTTCTAGCTTATCCTACTGTGTGCGCTATTCTCCTACTAAACAAAGCTCTAGCCCTCTCCACATCTAAGCCACTTGCCCAAGTGGCACCATGTAACATTCTCCAATTAAGTACAAATCGCAAGGAAAAAGTCTTTTTCCCCTTTGTTATTACAAAAAAAAAAAAAAAAAAAAAAAAAACCCAACCCCAACACCCCAACTGTAAAATAACCCCCCTCCCCACCCCTCAAAAAAACAAACCACCCGGAACAAACCCCAAAGGAGAAGCAGGCAACAGGAATTTTTGATAGAATCATCAAGCTTAACACTGGGAAGGCAGCCAGCCTGGGAGGCCCACAGCACCACCAAGACCCCAAGACCCAGCACAGCCGCTGGCAGCAGGAGGGCTTGAGCAGATGGATGGCAGCACCAGGACGGGCTCTGCCACCAACACGTGCCACATTTCTTTCCTCCTGCTGCCCCAAACCGTTAGCTCTATGTTAATACTTCATTAATACTGTCTAATTTCCTCTCTGCCAGCCCAGCAGCAGAGGGTTGGAGATCTTTACCCAGCCCAACACCAAGGCAAGAGAAGTGACCCTGCGTGGAAGGGACCCCACTGTGTGGACTGGTGCCTCCCACGAACTCTGGCAGAACCGAGCCAGGCACCACAGTCCCATACACCGTATCGCACCCAAGCCCGCACGAAGCACATTGCAAAGTTACACACCCCTTTCCCAAGTCCTGGCAATGCTAGACACACCATCGGAAAGGAGCGGGGCGACAGGGACGAGGGGCAGCGCAGACCCGATAAAAAGTTAGCTTAACAAAGTTAAAAAGTCCGATATGCACAGAAAACAAGCCAGGCTGCGCTAGGACCCGTTTGGGATGCTCTTGCCTTACCACCCCAGTCCTTGGAAGAGTGAAAGCCTCACCCCTTAAACACCAGCTCTTCTCCTCCCCACAGGGGAGCAGCTTCCTGGGGCAGCTGCTGGCACATCCCAGGATTTCTACGTGCAAAGCAGTGAACCAGACGAATCCGCTCCTGCTGTCAGCCTGGCAGCATCCTCATCCTGCTTGGGAGCCGGGGGTCAGTGCGCCGGCTCCCCGTGCACGCGGAAGCGGTAAATGCAGGTGTATTCGGGGTGGCCCCAGTTGCTCAGCACCCGGAGCTCCACCAGCTGGTATGTGCCCACAGAGTCACCCTTGGGGAGGAGGGGAAAGAAATACCTCAGCCCTTGAGAGCTCTCTAAGGCTCAGAGACCTCAAAGGCCCCATTTTCTTCTTGGGGTCAGGTGCTCCAAGGGCCATTTTACTTACCTCTAAGTAAAATGTTTGGATGGGGTCGCCATCGTGGTTGTAGGTGAATTGACCAAGGAGAAGGCCCTCCTCCTCTCCTTCTTCCTTTAAGCCCTATGGAGGGGCAAGGCGGCAGAAAGGGAGAACCAGGGGTCACCAGAGAGGGAGACCAGAGGTGATGAGCACACCCAGGGCAGAAGAGGGAGTGAGACACAAGCGTGCTTGGCCTCCGCTCCTGCTCTTCCAGGCCAAAACAGACAAATGGGGACAGGGACCAGTGGGGAGGGATGGGGGAGGGAAGACCAAAAGTTACACCTACTCAACCCCCTCTCCCCTTGTGTCCCTCCACACTCTTTCTGAAGTGTGGTGCTGCCTCCCTCTCCCCACCAGTACTGCTTCTTCCTCTTCTTCGCGGTAAGACCAACCCCCACCAGAGCACCCCACAGCCAGGTATGGGCTTTGCCAGCCCTCCCTTCCTGTGCCCTCCCACCATGTCCCCCTACTCCTCCCTCAGGTACGGACAAGGGTACTCACATAAACAGTGAAGTCCTTGGGGGCACTGGGGATGGTCCCCTGGGGTGAGAGGGCCTTTGGGATGTGCTCCAATGTCACAGCTGTGGGGCGGATGATGCTGGAGAGGCGGATGACAGCAAAGCCCTGGGAGCCACGAAATGCCCAGCAGTTCCCAGGGTTGACGTCTGGCTGTGAGCACGGAAGTGAGACAACAGCAATGTTATCACCATCAGTGCCTTTTTTCTCCCACCTCCCGCAACATCAGCCCAGTTGCTGGCTTGGAGCAACAGCAAGAGCCCAATAAAACCCACATGAAAACCAGCCCAGCCAGTCCTCCCCCTCAGCGGGGTCTTGCCCCGAGGGTGCCCACCTGCAGGATGACACGAGGGGACTGTGAGTGGTACCACAGGGGGATGCCAAACAAGCTCAGCAGCGCTGTCCGTGTCTCGTAGGTCTCCGAGCAGCGGGTGTTGATGACGCTGGCCCCTGCCACGGAGAGGGAATGGCAGCAGGTAAGCTGCGTGCCAGCACCCCATGGTCCCCTCCCCAGGACAGTTGGCTCGTCCCCCACCACCTACCTGCCGACTCGAGGGCATAGTCAACCATCCCCACGCGGTCCTCGCTGTAGCGCTTCAGGGCCTGGCCCACGATGAAATGCACTTGCTGCAGGAGGAGCAGAAGGCATAAGAGGGCTGAAGGGCCAGGACAGGCATCCTGCCCCCCACCCACCTCCACCCCACAGGGGCAGAGAGGGCGCAAAGACCTTTTTCCACAAAACAGCCAGGGGACAGAACAGCCGGGGGATGAATCACCACGGCAAAAATGAGCGGACACGCATTTGGCTGGGAAGCCTTGCTAGAGGTTGCTAAAAATACCCCAGAGGAGAGGAGCTCTGAAATGAAGGGACAGCACCCAGGCATGCTGGGCTCGTCTGTCCCCAAAAGAGGGGCTGTGCCCATGGGAGGAGGAGAGTGTACCAAATACAACTTGATAGACCACCCAGTCCTCCCCAGCATTATCTGCTGGTCCCTTCTGCCCTTTCCTGCAGGATCGATGGGAGCCTTCCCCATCCAGGAAAGGGGGAGCTGGCTGGAAAATCCTTCTGGAGCCAAACCCAGCTAAAGGAGTTGGGACACTGCAGCACCACTATAGAGTGCATAAAGCTTGACAGACTGCGGGGACTGCTAATCCCAGCTTGATCTCTCCCTCTACTACCTCCACAGGGAATTGCCAACAACTCTTTCCAAAGCAAGCAGACTCATTTTTTCCCCTTGGTGTCACTCTGATGAAATGCTTTGCACCAAACAACTCAGCAGTGCTGCTGAAGAATGAGGATAAGCAAGATGCTCCACCCATGGAATCCTTGCTGGCACCCGCCCTACCTTCTGGGTCAAGGATGCCTGAGCAGAAACTTGTATTTTAAGACAGCAGGAACCTTGCAGGCGTGCAAGTATCACCACCTGTGACCCCTTCCAGGGCAGAGTGCAGGCACAGCCCAAGAAAGAGCTTCAAGGATGCTCTTGCCTGGTGGATTGGGATCAATATCCCAGCTGTAGGGGCTGTTCCAATGGCTCTGCCATCTGCCAGGCACATGTGCCAGCCCCTCTGCACATACACAATGACACACAGTCCCCAGTCTCACTCCTGTGGTCACCAGCATGCTCCAGGGGTTCAGGCCAGCACTCACCTCCTCTGTCACCCCTGCAGTCCCCCCGTGCTGCAGGGCCACTCCACTACCATCCTGGGCTGACAGTCTCCGGTCCTCTGAGACTTTGGCAAGGATCTTGCGCTCCAGAGCCTGGAGCTCCGTTTGCAAGTCTTCCCGCTGGAGGATGAGGCCAGTGGCACCATCCTGCCGGGACCGTGACAGGAACCGACTGATCCATACTGGGAATTGTGCTTCCACCTGAAATGGTGGGGACAGAGTTTAGCCTAGGAGAAGGAACCCTTGCTCTTCTCTCTGCCAAGCAGGGTGGGGATCGGGGACTCACATCAGCCCGCACCGTCTTCAGCTGCTCCAGCATCCCCTCCACATGCTTCCCCATCACCTCCTGGTCTGATTTGAGGCCTGCCAGCTCCCTCCTCAGCGCTGCCACCTCCTGTTCCAGCTTGCCCACCTCCTGCTGGAAGGTCCCTCGCAGGCTCTCCTGCGCTGAGCTTTGTGGAGAGAAAGGCGTACCAATAGCCCAGCTCCCCTCTGCACACTGAGGGAAGAGGTTCATCCCGCATTGCCTATGCTCAACCCCATCTCCAGAACGCAACCCTTTTAATGCCTGTGGCAATGATATCTTCTACTGCACCCTGTGGGAAAGCACACACAGCTCACCCCTTGGCTGAAGGGCCACATTCCTCACAGTGATGCAGAATGACAGCAGCATAGGTCATTTGCTGCAATCGCCCTTGGAGTCCTGGTGCGAGCCAAAGAATCACAGAATGGATCAGGTTGGAAGGGACCACAGTGGGTCACCTACACCAACCTCCCTGCTTGAGCAGGGCCACCCTAGAGCACATTGCACAGGATGGTGTCCAGACAGTTCCTGAATGCCCAGAGAGTCTGTGGAGTCTCCCTTACTGGAGGCAATCTGTTCCAGTGCATGGTCACTCACACAGTAAAGAAGTTCTTCCTCATATTCAAGTGAAACTTCCTGTGCATCAGTTTCTGCCCATTGCCTCTTGTCCTACTGCTTGACACCACTGAGAAGAGCCTGGATCCATCCTCCTGGCACCCTCCCTTCAGATACTGATGGGCATTGATGAGGTCCCCTCTTAGCTGTCTCTTCTCAAAGCTGAACAGGCCCAGTTCCCTCAGCCCTTCCTCACAAAAAAGAAGCTCCAGTGCCTTATTTATCTTTGTTGCTCTCTGTTGGACCTGCTCCAGGAGCTCCATGTCACTTGTACTGAGGAGCCCAGAACTGGACACAGCACTCCAGATGTGGCCTCACTGGGGCTGAATAGAGAGGTAGGATCACCTCTCACAACCTGCTGGCGATGCTCTTCCTAATGCACCCCAGGACACCATTGGCCTTCTTGGTCACAAGGGCCCCTACTGGCTCACACTGACATACCATCCCTTCCTTCCCCAGAAGACAACACCTCTCAGTCTCTCCTTCTGTCCCAAGTAAACCAGACCTAGAAGCCCTTCCTAAGCCTCACTGGGGGGAATTCACTCTGCCACCTGCCTGCCCCTAACCAAGCAGTGGCTCTGCCCGACAGCCAGTGTTACCTCTGCCACTCCGAGTTCAGCTCCAGCAAGTGTGCCTCCATCTCCTGCCAGGAAAAGGGGAAGGGGTGAGACCTGTGATGCCGGTGGTGGTCCTGCCCAAGTACCACCACATGCTCATTCCCTTACCTGAGAGGCTTGTGCCATCTTCCCCAGGCGCCCATCTAAATCCCTCTGCACCTGGGCTCGGAAGGAATCCAGCTCACCCTGCAGGATGAGGAACAGGGTGGAATATCAGAGCCTGGTCCTGCACACCCCCATCTCCCCACGTGCCACCCGCACCCCTCACCTGGAGGTGGCTGGTCATGTCGGCGTGGAGATGCTCCTTCAGCCCTGCATCCCGGCGGTTCACCAGCCCCTCCAGCAGCACCAGGATGTCCCCTGGGGGTGGTTCTCCTCCTGCTGTCACCGCTGCCGCCCCCCGACGCAGCTGCCACCGTGACAGCTCAGCCTCCAGTGCCTCAAAGCGCTTCTCCAGGGACTGGAAGCGAGCCAGGAGCCGGTGTCCTCCCTGCAGTAACCAAAACACGGTGAGATGCAGCCCCCTCAGGAGGTGCCTGCTCCAAAGCACCACTGTGGAAGGGGTCCCATACCACCCATGTCCCAGGAGAAGACAGAACTTTCCGCTGCTCCATTCTTGGAGCAGCTCAAGAGTGAGATGGTTGTAAGCTGAGGAAGCCATTTCCACTACAATCTGTCACAATCTGGCAATTTCCACATCTGCCCATTTTCCCACCATTCCCCATCCCCTGGAAGCAATCCTTCAGCCATGGACCACATCATTCCAGCTCCCTCTGCAAGGCACCCATCCCACCTGGGCTGAAGCTTACCTGGTCCAGCATGGTCAGGTCCCCTGCCCCAGGCACATCAGAGGAGGAAAACTTCCCAGCTCCCCACCACGGGAAGGCAGGCAGGCTGAGTGTCGATAGCCCATATGGGTAGAAGTACCAAGCTCCTGGACATGCAAAAGGATAAGACAGTTAAAGCCTAAGGCTGGTAATGAGCCACAGCTGGGGACAGGGTAGACATGCAGAGACTCAGCCATCAGCATCCCCCGGGATTACCAGGAGGTCCCAGCACAGGCAAGCACATGGACCATGTTTCCAAGAGCCATGAAGCACTGAGCTGGAGGCCATCCCATCCCCCAGGTATGGCAGTGGCATGCTCTGCACTGCCCCAGACCTCAGGGCAACAGGTGGAGTCAGGCTGGCTCACCGTAGGCAGCAGCAGTGAGGAGCAGGAGGAGCAGCAGCAGAAGCAGGAACCTCTTCACTCGTGGGTAGCGCCTGGAGCAAGGAGAAGTAAGAGGCACCTGTAGGACTGTAGCCGCCTTCCACCACCTCTGGATGGGGACCAGAGGGAAGGTAAAGCCCAGCTGGGCTTTGGCACAGACCCCCCCCCACGTGTGCCTCCCTGCTCCAGGGTCCTGCAGGTTTTCCCCACACTCCCCCCCTCCTGGTGTCCCACCACCACACTCACCTGGAGAAGGGGACGCTGTCCAGGCGGGGAGCTGTGCCCGTGAGGCGGTGCCAGGCACCTACCAGCCCTGAGAACAGCCATGTCATGAACCGAACTGCCAGCAGGAAAAACAAGCCTCAGGAGGAGTCCTGCTAGAGATGTCCCCTCCATCCCCCAGGGATGGTCCCAGAAGGGGATAAAACCCCTCCACCTGATCAGGGAACAGCCCACACAGCACTTAGGGAGTAAAGACACTGACAGACAAGAATGATGCTTCTGGAAATGCCCCTGCCAGCCCTCCACTCACCTGGGGAGGTGAACACCTGCCAGAGGAAGGAGCCCACCCGGGAGGCTGCAGTCCTCAGACCTGACCCAGAGCTACTTTGGCCTGAGTAAAAATGACCTGGAAAGCAAAATGCAAGTCACCAATGGAGCCAGCATCCCAGGGCACTGCCCAGGGCAAAGGCTTTGCACTGGAGGTGGCATGCAGCATGACTGGCAGCACCCTGGGTATAGCCAGGCCCTGGGCTGGTCCCTCAGGAATGTCTCCCTTGCATCCCTGCCACTACAGAGAGGCTGGTGATGCCTACCAGCGTAGTCATCTTCGGAGGAGTATCCAGATGAAGAGGCATAGGTGTCGTACGTCTTGCTCTCCAGCAGCCCGTTGATCTTACTGGATTCTGTGTCCCCTGTGCCTCTTCTCCTCCTGGTAGAGAGCTCCCCACCTGCTCCCAAAACACAGAGTCCCGCTGAGAAACCACCCATCACCACTCCCACGGGGCCACCACAGTCAGCCACCCTGGGGGGCTGCTCCAACACCCCGCTATGTGCCACAGGAGGGTGGGAGGGCTCACCCCAGTACATGCCACTGTCCAGGTCATCATCCAGCATGGAATTGCCCAGGGCAGCAAGGCCCCGACTGCCCCCCAGGTAGGACTCGCTCATCATGGACTCGCTGTAGTAGGAGGTCTGGGTGCTGGGGGCAGGAGAGAGGCGCTTTGTGCTGCTCGATTTCCTCCTGATCGTCCTGCCAGAGGAGAGAATAGGCTCATCAGACACGTGTGGTAACGGTGCGTGGGGGATCACAGTGCACCCACGGGGGAGAAATGGGGAATTCACCCCAATCCCTCGACCAGCATCACTTCCCCTCTGCACCAGACGGCAGCAGGTCTCGGAAGGTGCAACCTCTGTTTTGCAAAAGGCCTTCCCGCCCGTCCCCGGGCACCGCTTCCGCTCGCACCGCTGCGGTTTTCCGGCCGGCACTTGCAGCGCACCTCCCTCCCTCCCTGCCTCTCTCTGCCTCCCGCCATCCAGTCGGAGGCAGCTGCAGCTGGGAGGAGGCACCCAGCCACCCACGGCAGCTCCTGTGTCGGGGCAAAGGACAAGGAGAAGGGGGCTGTCGCTGGAGCAGGGGCACAGCCATTGCCAAGGCGGCCGGCAGCCATGCCGGAATGTGCCGGGCTCCCCGTCACGCTCCCTCCTGCGAGCCATCCCGACACGCCACCCGGGAGGATACCCGGTCCCTGGTGCGGGATGCAGTGCCCAGCCCCAGCCAGGTTTGGGAGGCGGGCCCCCCCTCACCCGTGCACCCCACTAACCTGCCGGTGGTCTCCTTGAAGGGGAGCTGCGTCCCACCCAGCAGAGAGGTGGTGCTGCTGCTGGTCGTGGCATCGTCGTCCCCGGGGTAATAGCGGGAGGTGACAAGGCGCTGGCTGCGGCGGGACATGGCGCCTGCAGGGGGGGAGGGCACGGCTCACCTGGGGGCGGGCGGGGGTGTCGGAGAAGAGAGGGAAGCATCAGCAGGAGGAACCCAGGAGGGACCCACCGGCGGGGACCCCACCCCTGTGACAGGGGGTCCCGCACATACCGCACCCCCTTCCGAGCTGGTGCCCCGGGATGGGGCCACCTTCCCTTATAGGGCGATGAACCCCTTCCTCTCCTCTCCCCTCCCACCCATACGAGGTTCCACCCGCGCATGGAGCCGCTGTCCCGCCGGTCCCTCCGAACACCCCCGGCCCGACTCATCATCCCCCACCGGCGCCATCCGCCCCGGGCCGAGCCCCGGGCCGAGCCGGCCTGCCTGCAACCTTCCCCCACTGCCCCGGCCCCGCCGCGCCGCCCCACGCAAACCCACCGGAGAATCACGCGCAGCGGGGAAGGAGCCCCCGCCGTCCCTCCCGGCTGATTCCAGCTGATCCCAGCCGCTCTCGCCGCCGCCGCGGCTGCCGCTCCCTTTTGTTTTGCGGGGGAAGGCGGCACCCGCCTCCCCGCGGGCCCCCCCCGCCGCCACCGCCCCGCCCCGCCCCACCCGCCGCCGAAAAAGGGGGGCAGCCACCGCCCCCCCGGCCTCTGGGGAGCGCTTCGATGTCCCCTTCTTTATCATCATCATCGTAATTATTTATTATTATCATTATCATTGTCGCTGTTGGCATATTATTTTTATTTTCCTTTATTTTATTTTAACCGTTTTGGGGGGCCGATGGCAAGGACCCATCCCCGCTCTCCGGTGCTCACCAGGACCTGGTCACCGAGCACCTCAGCCCTCGGGTTCCTCTTCGCCAAGTCCACCACAGGCAGCAGTGAGCCCGCACTGCCAGACAAGGGCGTAGGTGATACCAGCCTAAAATGGGAGCTCCCAGATCGAGGATGGCACCCCCAGCCCCGTCTGGGTTTTGCTGGGGTGGCTGGTTTGCCAGTCCCAGTGAGGTGGGAAATACCCACACCCCATACACCACCCAACACGAGGACACAGCCAAACCTGTCCCTGCGGCATGAGCAGCCCTGCTAAACGCCCATGGGCCCCACTGCTTCAACCGGGTAGGCATGTTCTGCTGTTCCCCAGACCCGTGGCCTCAGACAGCCCGCTGCCACCGCTCTCCTCCACGGGTGGCTGGGCCGGCTTGGCAGGAGGGTGTGAGCCAAACCAGGCTGCTCCCACGGGACCTTGAACCTCAGCAGCACAGCTGGGACCTTGTGCAAACTCACCAGGCTGAAGAAACAGTCACCCTCCCACACTCTGTGTTTTAAATCCCACGGTGCCTAGGAAAAAGATTTGCTGGGGGGGGCTCCGTGAGTGGGGGTAACCAGTCGCCTGTATCTGGACACAGTTGTTAGGCCACATCCATGGGGCATGGTGCAGGAATGCCGCCCCCCCCCCCCCCGGCTTTGCATATGGAGCAAAAAGGTATTTATAGAAAGAGTTAAATAATATGAAGCTGGCAGAAGGGGAGGAACCTGCTGCAAGACAGCCCCAAAACCTTTTCCTCCCTGTGCTGGGGTTTGGGGCACAAGCCAGGGCAGCGGCAGGAGGACGTGCCGCCAGCATTGGGGGGGCACACTGCAACAAACCCTGATTCAGTGGCCCTGGCCCTGTTGTGTAACACAGACAGATCCTCTTTGTCTGTCTTTTTTTTTTTTTTTCTTCCTTTTGAGCCCATTTTTTGTTCTGGGCTAAATCTCTGCCTGGCTTTTCCAGGGCAGCTCCATCTCTCACTGTGCCAGCCACCCTTTTTCACCCTTTCCTGTGGCTTCCCATCCCTTTGTGGGTGCCTGACTAGGACAGAGGACATCTCCCCTCTCCGGTAGCACATTTATCTCTGGCCATGCCAATGCCAACCCTGTGCCCTGTCCTGGGGACGCTGGCAGTGGCCCTTGTGATGGCACCTGCCCCAGCTGACGTAACCCTGCACACGGATTAACCCCCCAGGAGGCTCAGGGGATAAGCTGGGTGCTGAGCCACCGGGCACTAAATAGGGTGCAGGGCCCCGGGGTCAATCGGTCCCCTTATCAGGAGCCACTTTTTTGGGTGGGAAGGGAATTGGCTGTGGTTCCCAGGGAATTTGAGAAGGTGTTCCAAAGGGAGTGAGGCTTGTCCCCCTTGCTGCACCCCTGGCTCTGCAAAGGAGGTGGTGATGCCAGAGCCATGGGGGTTTTCAGGTGGATGCGGGAAGAGCAGGGCAGGGATAAGTAGTGAGTGGCTGGGAGCTCAAACCTCATTCTCCCCACACCAGTAGTGGGGAGTCTCAGCTCTGTTTTTGGGGGTCACCAGGGCATCACCATGCTGGGGACAGGAGTGGGGCAGAAGGAGCTTGCCAACTGCTCCAGTTTGGCAGCTCTTGCTCGGAAAAGGCAGGAAAAATCCCTACCCTTTCCTAAAAGGCTTTTGGGGGCTGGAGCGGCACATCCAGGCATGCGAGGACAGGCCACGGCTGGGAAAGCAGCTTTGGTCGGGAGATCTCAGCTCATGTCATCTCCACTAGGCCAACCTTTTTATTTAAATTCCCTCCCTGCCCCAGCTATCCTTACAACCTGCTTTCCTAGTACATCACACCACCAGCTCTGGCACCACCAAAAGGCCGACGCTACACAAAGTCGGAGCTGCATGCTGATCCCATATCATCCTTGGCAGAACCCAAAAATGCCCCAACCCAGCAAGATACGCAGCCCCCCATCACACCCATGACCCCACATCATCCACCAGCACCTTATCCGGGTGGGCTGCCCTGGCCAGGCAGTGTCCCACCTCCACCAGCACCTTCCCCAGGCGACGGTCCAGTGCCCGCAGGTGGGGCTCAGCCAGGACAGGGGAAAGTGGATCTGCGGCCAGCGCCTCTCGCAGCAGGTCACTCAGGCGGTAGGATTGGGTGGCCAGCAGCTGCAGACGCAAGTAGGTTGACTTCTTGATGCTGCCAAAGATGAGGAGGGAGATGTCTCAACAGCAGGAGCCTCTCCCCGAGAGCAGATCCAGGGTAGGCAGCGGGAGCCCTTTACTACCTGCAGCATTGCTGGAGGGGGGCCAGGATGGACAGTTCATCACGTGAGTGTGTGCCGAAGCTGGAAAGGGGGGAAAGCCCACCAGTGGGTGTCAGGGTAGCATTTCGGTGAGATTGGCAGTCTTCCCCCATCCCTTTGCAGTGATTGCTCCCCTTCTCTCCCCAGCTTTACCCGCGGCCATTGTCCAGGTGGAGCAGGAAAGTGTCATTCCCAAACTTCTCAAAGGTCTCGTAGTGGTGTCGGTCCATGTTGCCTGTGGCGGGCCAACAAATTTGCCATCAGGTTGTGGGCTGGGAGATGGGAGCAGGGATACAGAGCACCCTCCTGGTGTGAGACTGAAACCCAAAGCCTGGGGAAAAGGTCTGGAGGCACCTGTAAGGTGCCCATCTGGTAGTCATGGCTGTGGAGGGGAACTGAGCAGAGACCCTATCGGCCTCCAGGCCCCTTCTCATCCCAGCAGCCCCACAGAGGGACAACAGTGGCAAATGGAGCAGAAGTAATGGCCAAAGCATGGCTGGGTGGCCAGAAACGAGGAGATGGGAAACTCTCCAAGTCAGATGATGGTGAAGGGACAGCGCAGGGAGGAAGAAGCAGCCGAGGGACAGGAGAGGCAGCCAGAGCCCTAGGCATCACCTCTGCCTCTGGATTTCCAGGGGCTGCATGTGAGAGTATGCTGGAAGGTGCTTCCTGTGTCTGGGGTGTTCAGCTGGGATCTCCCCAGCATCTGTTGTCCTTTGACTTCTGCCCTAATGGCACAGCCCTGTCCTCTCATTTTGGGTAAGAGTGCAGCTCGCTGCAGCCTGAACAACGGTTTGGCCAACAAACCTCGCAGGGCACAGCGCTGCAGGACACGGAACCTTTTGGGCTTCTCAGTCCCAAGGGAGCTCCACAGCCCTCAGCACCAGAATGGAGTGGCTCACCCATAAGGAAATCGAGGATCGTCATGTCGATGAGGTCAAGGAGGCGATGGCCCCTGTCGTAGGGCGGCGTCTCTCGCACCCGAGCACAGTAGTTGGGGTTCAGCTCCCATCTGCTGGCAGAGGCCGGGGAGGGAACAGGGGCCACTGAGAGTGGCCATGGAGCAGCCCCCTCCCACCCCATAGCTCTGCTGCTCCATGCCCCCCATACCCCCCGTGCCCTGGCTCACTCAGCTTTCTTGCTCTTGTGGTAGGAGCGGCGCCAGGGGCTGCGCCAGGAGCGGCGCTTGGCCAAGGTCTTGTCAGGGAGCAGGGCAGCCATGGAGCCCTCCAGCCGGTCCGGCTTGCCACAGAGGGCGTGCTCGGTGGAGCAGTAGTAGGAACATTCCCCGTAGAAGCAGACGTTACCCGCTGGCCATGGGGACAAAGCAAAGGTTGATGAAGAACAGAAAGGCAACAAGCCTGTGACCCCCAGGCAGGGTGGTCCAGAAGGCAGCCGGGGGAAAACGCTCCATGCATTGTGGCCATGCACCACTGGCAACGCAGCGGCAGGGAAGGCAGCGAGGAGCAAAGCCCCATGGCAGGGGACCCACAGGAGCTGGAGCAGTGCCCAAACAGTTACTTTGTCCCAGGGCAGGAGAAGACAGGTCCAGCTGAGCTCCATGGGGGTGGCCACAGGAGAGGATGGACAACATGAAAGCTCACCTGGGGAGATGAAGAAAGTCTTGACCAGTTTCTTGTCTGTGGTGATGTCACGAATTTCCTTGGTTATATTGACCAAACGGCCAGAAACTGGGGGGATTCGCCGGAAATCCAGGATCCTGAAATACAGAACTTGGAACCACTTCTTATCGACCCCGGCTGGTTTTCACAGCAAGTTATTAAACCCACCAGGAGGCATCCCTCACAAAAACGAGGGAGAGGTGGGATGAAGGAGCAGTTTCTCTGCTGCTCTGCCAGCATGGGAAGGGAGGGTTGGATGTAAAGCTTATGCTCACCTGTCCAGGTGGAAGGCTGCAATCTCTGCATTGTGCCTCTCAAAGTCCGAGAAGTAGAAGAAATCTATGGGCGTCTCCTGGTCCCGGGTCTGCCTGGGAGGGTGGGGGTCACTCTGAGCATGGTTCCAAACCACACCTCACCTTGTGTCCCCTGGTGACACTGGAGACACAGCAAGACCCAGTCTCCTCCAGTCACTTCCTGATGGGTGGTGTCACTCCAAGCGCCCAGTCTGAGCTCCCACATACTCCCTGCTTCCAACACAAGGGCTGGGAAGCCTCATGGACTGGAGGCTCATGGATGGTCCTCACGGACCACCTTCTTCTTTCCACCACTGGAGGTCACTACCCCATCACAAGCTGCATCCAGGCTGTTGTAAGCAGCCAGGGAAGGCGAAGGAAAGGGGACCATTCCGCTTGCCTCAATTTTGGGATGGAGGTGCTGAAGCAAGGCACAAAGCATTTCTCCATTTCTCCCTCCATAGTCCCCTCTGGCCACTCCTCGCTACCTAATGGGACCATGTGATGAGGTAAGGGGTTGTCCCAAACTTTACTCACTTCATGGGCTTGAAGAGG